TGATAGTATGCAGTCACACATTACCATCTAACAAATATCCAGTCGTGTGGCTGGTTATCAAGGAGGGACTGATTACTCCCCTTGTGTTTACGGTCTCGAGGAAACTCTGACTAGTTCTCAAATGGTAACTCTAGTCTGAGACTAGAGACGGAAACCGCTTCGCACACATGGTCTAAACAAGCCTGACTTGTTCTTCTTGATTTCAACAAAGCCCTAGAGCCACCGATTTTCTCTCAAGCAAATCTAACCATAGCCCTCCTCTAACTCTCCCTCCACCCAAACCCCATTTCCCATAGAAGGTCTCAGCAGATCTCACAGATCTCATCCGCAAAGCTGCAGAGCAGCGTAATCTGAACTAAACTCCAGGCACACATCTGGTGGGTACTTTGCAACTTTGAAAGTCAGTGGTCTCTCAAAGGCAGTTTCCAGACAAGAGATCATTATGAGATTTGGCGCTTACGTTGACCAATGGCTATGCTGAGCTACACTGGAGAGCGTGAAAAGGTGAGGGTGAAGAGGATGATTAGCAGATAAGCGGAGTCTTCCAGTCTGTGAAGTCATTCTCCCGCTTCAAAAGCAATTTCTTTGTTTCCGCTAATCACCCTAAAATCGCCACCGGCCAAGTGCCGTACACGACTTGAAAGCGAAACCGAGAGATTCTCCCGAACCTGGGAGAGTGACTTCAGAGAGTAGAAGACGCCCAACTGGTGATCCCCCTTTGGCGTAAGAGCCCTTTATCGCCGTTTTCGCGCTTTCTAGTGTGGACGGACTCACAAGGGAGGGTTGAGGAGCCTAAGGGCCGATTACTTCAATAAGCACATCATCAAAAGGAGCTTGGAATGCTGATTTCAAATCTGTCTTCCTTATTTGCAGGGCGCTTTTGGGAGGTAAGCTAAGAGCGTTTCTTTTCTTAAAAATTTGCATAGTTTCGATGACTACAAACAACGAAAATCGTTCAAATTGCTTCTTGCGCTTCAGTCTAATCTTCAAAAAGGGCCAGCCTCACATGAAGCATGTTTAACATGTTCTAAGTAGGTCTGAAGCCAAAATGTTGTGCGTGAAGATTCCAGCTACTCTGAGCCTTACAGAGTTCTTGCAAATAAAAATCAACAACTTCCTTTGCATATGCGTTCTGCAGATGTTTAGAGCAGATTTGGAACCATTGCTACATTCTCTTTCTGATAATATGCACCTTGAAGTGATCGGCCACTTCAATTCCGCGACCTTCCCTTGTCAGCATCCATCATGAGCACAATCTGCTCATATTGTACCCTATTCCAGGACGCTAGGGAGACGTACGGTGTGGGCAAAATTTGGGGAGTGGAATTCTCGGTTGCGAGTCAATCATATGAGCCGTGGTTAGATCTATAGCTTAGTTAAGCATTCATTTTGTGAATTATGCGGAGTCACTCCCTCCAGACGTTGTTGATTTCGCCCCACACTTACTGAGGAATAGAAAGGATCGACTTACTCGTGCTCTTTGCAAAAGTCTTGGATTGTGAAATACTCGTCGAGCGCGATGCCCAGGCCATAAACGACATTGGTAAGTTCCTGCCGCTCTTTATCGCGTTCCCCGCTCAAAATTGGAGTTTGTTCCTTTACCGGACGCATTGCTTGTTCTAGGGTTCTGGAATCACAATGGAATAGGACAAGAGCACTCAGAAAAGAAAAGAAAGAAACGACACGACTGCCACAATGATGATCAAACGGGTTATTTGCTTCACAAAATAAACGATAAGGGATCTCTTGATGCAACAGTGCGGAGAATGATGTCTTATATTAACCTGCGCACAAACATTCATTACGTGAAATGTCATAACCAGGGTCAAGCAAGAGGTGTGGCACACAGCGGCCAAATACGACCACCTCCCCGAGTCGTAGTACATTACGACCCCCTCCCTTTCTCGCTCCCCCTCCCGTACTGAAATTAACGCCTTTCAGTGGAGCAAATGTAATGTATGAAAAATGTTTGTGAAATAAGCCTTTCCTCATTTTCTAGTGATTAGGTAAATGATCAAGAAAATCATCAATACAAGGATAAGAAAATTGTCGATACAAGGAACGAAACAAACATACCTTTTCTGGTCTATTTCCTAACCAACCAACCACCTATTTACACAGGCAACCTAGACAGCCGCAATAGCAAGTGGGTGACAGACTGCCAAGACGCCAATGTAAGATCTAATCTATGAGAATAGTATGAAGGCTAGAAAGAAAAAGTTTATGAAAAGAAAGCAGGGGATACTCACTTTGCAGGGAGGGCCAAGACGATTCTCTCCTCGAAAACGATTCCTGTATTGAGGTAGAATCTTCCACACTTCAACTGCCTGAAAAGGTGATCTAGAGAAAACGAAATTTACTTGAACCAATTCACTTCCGTATCCTATCATCGATATCAAAGACAGCGATTGTCTTCGATCAACTTTCGGTCTATGACTCAACGAAAAGAGTGACAAAAAGCTTTCATTAACAGAAAACCAATAGACAAGAGATACAGTGGTCGAAAAGACAATATAAGAGATTGTAAATAAGGTTGAAGTAAAGCGTTTGACTCAATTAACATATCCTTGCTACTTC